TTTTAGAACTGTTGATGATAAACTGCTTTTGAACTTATATTGCACATGTAAGTGAGCTTGGGGTGGAAGATCCTTGAGGACCCATTGCCTTACTGAGATTTCTTGTTTAGAGATCTCACCCCACGTTTGGGGAATGCTTATTTCAGGTTCAGGTAGTATGGGGACTGATGCCTCTGGCAGTAGGAGGCCAGAGCTTAGTTGATGATTATTGTTGTTATATGTTATATGCTGGCATGACTGGATTGGATGCTGTTTATGTTTCCCGCCTTTATCATTATGTTGCTGTTGAGTTGAGGCTTATGTGGGCTTTGTTACCTTATTTGGGGTGAGCATGAGAGTTGTCCATGCCACCATGTTGTTAGTACTTTTGAGTTGAGTTGTATAAACTGCTAGTTGGTCCGGTCTACGCGTGGTAGTTCCGTGACTAGAGACATACTTATGTTATTTAATTAATGAGGTATTCCAGTTAGCTGTTTATTGCAATATACATACATGCGATGTTTTGAAAAAGATTAAGTAATCAAGTTGGTAATGATTAATGACATCATAATTGAAAAGAAAAAGATATTCCGCATTTTTAATTAAACGCAGCTTAATACGATAGTATGATAACATTACCGTATATATACGGGGTGTTACAGGTGGCATCATGAGTCAAGTTGGACTTGATCCATGATGTAACCTAATAAATTTAAATGTTAAATTAATAAAATTAATTTGAATTCTAATTTCGAATTTCGAATTTGAAATTTGAATTTAAATAAAATTAATTTAAATTCTAATTTTGAATTTTGAATTTGAAATTGAAATTTAAGTATAGTCATTAAATTAGATTTATTGAAGATGGAGAAAATAAAAGAAACCAATCAATTAGATTGATTGGAAACAAATCAATTGCATTGATTGACCAAAATTAAGGAAACCAATTAATTGAATTAATTGACTGAAATTGGGAAAACCAATCAATTGGATTGATTGGATAAAAATAAGAAAATTACCCAATAAGATTAGGATTTGATGAGGGCGCTGATTTGACCTAGTCTTAGGTTAATGAGTTGCCACATCTATATATAGCCCCTCTTCTTCCTTAGTTTTGTATCTCTTCTTCTTCTCTAATTTTCTCCACTGAAACCTTAGCCAACACACACATCAGTGTGGCGGCCATCTCTCTCTTAGAATAACCAAAGGCACTACCCAATCTCTATTCTTCTCTTGAGTCTAGCAACCTCCATTGAAGGAGATTGGGCATTCAAAGAAGTGTTCTTCTCTTACAAGACAACAAGGTGGTGTGGATTTCCATCGGAAGACTTGTGTTCTTCAAGTCTAAAGAATTGATCAAGAACGCATTTGATCAGGAATAATAATCCGAATAAAGGTATCTACTTTAAACCCTAACATGTCTATTGCATGATTCATGGGTTAAACATGATTGAGGGTGGGCAAAGGTTGCTTCTTCTGCATAAAAAATTTAAATTTTCCCTCTTTTATGTTCATGGCCTACAAAAGGCATCTTACAAGTGGCATCTTACTGTTGATAATGATCAACCCATCTTTTAATTTGATCTTGCGGTCTCAGACGGGGATTAAAGGAAACGGTCGTTCTCTTAACCCACTATGGAAATTCTTAAGAAGAATAGCCCTAGGTCAATAAGAAAAAAGGTCATTGACTTAGACAAAATAGTGGGAAGGGCCATTTATTTGAAGTCTTTAGTAATATGGTCTATTTATAACAATATTAATTATTTTATTTTTACATCCTATTTAGCTTAATATGTCGGGTCATTTGTCTCTACGTACTATTCTCGAAACGAACAAGTTGACCGGTCCTAATTTCGTGGACTGGTATCGAAACGTTAGAATTGTTCTGCGGGCCGAAAAAGTTGCTTATGTCCTTGACGCTACTTTACCTGTTGCGCCTAAAGAAGGGGAAGATGGGTTCGCGGAATTTGATTTCTAGGCCCACAAGCAACACATGGATGATAATGTGTTGGCTTGTTGCATCATGCTGGCATCCATGTTACCCGAGCTGCGTAAACAGCACGAGCATATGGATGCCCCCTTCATTATCCTTCATCTTAAGGAGTTGTATGATAAGAAGGATAAGCATGAGAGGTATGATACCTCTAGGGAATTGTTCCTATGCAAGATGACTGAAGGCATGTCTTTTAACCGCCTGTCCTGAAGATGATAGCGCTCATTGAAAAGCTAGAGAGTCTAGGCTTCGTAATGGATGCTGAATTAATTAATGACTTAGTTTTATCATCACTTCCTCCTTCTTTCAGTGGGTTCATTATGAAATATAACATGCATTTGATGAATGTTACACTGCCTGAGTTGTTAAGCATGTTAACTACTGTTGAGGTGTCTATCAAAAAGGATAAGACACAAGCTCTTCTTATTGGTGGGTCTTCCAAGACCAAGGATAAGGGTAAAAGGAAAGAGCTTGCGAAGCCCAATCCTCTCAAGCCCAAAGGAAAGTCCAATAAGAAGACGGGCAAGGCCATAGGTAAGGGCAAGGATAAAAATGACGCTGAGTGCTTCTATTGTGGCAAGAAAGGCCATTGGAAGAGGAACTGTTATGACTACATCAAAGGTGTAATGGAAAAGAAGCATGGTGATGCTTCTACCTCAGGTATTTACATGATTGAGGTTAATTTTTCTTGTGTTAACCCGGCTTAATGGGTATTGGATGGATACCTGTTGTGGTTCTCACATCTGCAATATGTTGCAGGTGCTAAGGAATCCGACGAAGCTTGACAAGAACGAGGTGGATCTTCGAGTTGGGAATGAAGCAAGAGTTGTTGCATTAGCTATTGGAGATGTTGACCTTGTTTCGTGTACGGGCCTTATGCTGCATTTGAAGAATTGTCTTTATGTTCCTAACATTTCTAGAAACATTATTTCTATTTCTTGTTTAGAACGAGATGATTTTATATTTACTATTAAGAGTAGTGAATTTTCTATCATTATGAATGATATTGGTTTTTGCTACTGCTTCTTTGGTAAATGGCTTATATGTTCTAGAAATGGAAAATAAAGTCCTCAATGTAAATGTGAAATGACCCAAGATAGATAATAAATCTTATCTTTGGCATTGTAGACTAGGACACATAAACGAAACAAGACTATCTAGGCTACATGCAAATGGACACCTAGATTCCATGGATTTAGAATCCTATGGGCCTTATGAGTCTTGTCTAGCTGGGAAAATGACTCAGACCAAGCTCAAAAGGCTCGAGAGTCATAGGGCTAGTGAGTTATTAGGACTTATTCGCTCTGATGTATGTGGTCCAATGTCTATCGAGGCTAGAGGTGGATATTCCTACTTTATTACCTTTACTGATGATAGATCAAGATTTGGGTATGTATACCTGATGAGACATAAATCTGAAGCCTTTGAAAAGTTCAAAGAGTATAGGAGTGAAGTAGAGAAACAACGATGCAAGATGATTAAGACATTACAATCAGATCGTGGTGGCGAATATCTGAGCAACGAGTTTCAAGATTATCTAAAGGAGAATGGAATTCTCTCACAGTTTACTGTGCCTTACATGCCACACCCAAATGGTGTATATGAAAGGAGGAACCGAGCCTTATTGGATATGGTTAGGTCCATGATGAGTGAGACAGAACTCCCAAAATCATTTTGGGGTATGCCTTAAGCACTGCAGCAAACCTTCTGAATATGGTACCTTCTAAATCTGTTCAGACCACTCCATATGAGATATGGACTGGTAGGAGACCAAACTTGAGCTACCTCAAGGTTTGGGGATCTCCAGCATATGTCAAAGCGCTAACATCAGAGGATCTTCTTTCTCAAGGAGCTAGTAGGAGTAAAATTGAACTTGAAGAAGTTCAAAGCCCACAAGAACATATTAAGAACCCGAGTCTGCTTTGCAGGCGTATGGACCTTGGTTCCACATCCAGAAGGAATGGTTCATATTGGATGTAAATGGGTCTTTAAGAAAAAGACTGATGCAGATGGCAACGTTCAAACCCATAAAGCTAGGGGTTGGTTGTGAAAGGATATCGTTAAAGACAAGGAGTTGACTATGACGAGACTTTCTCACCTATTTCCATGGTCAAATCTATTCGGATCATGCTAGCTATAGCAACATATAATGATTATGAAATTTGGCAAATGGATGTCAAGACTGCCTTCTTGAATGGGTTCTTGAAGGATGAGGAGTATATGACACAGCCTGAAGGTTTTTTGAATCCAAAAGGCCAGAAGTATATGGTATTCAAACTTCAAAGGTCAATATATATGGGCTAAAACAAGCATCACGGAGTTGGAACATTCATTTTGATGATGTTATTAGGAGTAACGGTTTCATCAAGATCGTGGATGAGTCTTGTGTTTACAAGAAGGTTAGTGAGAGCAATGTTATTTTCTTGGTGCTTTATGTGGATGACATAGTGCTGATAGGGAATGACATCCTTACACTTCAAACAATTAAGAAGTTGCTTTCTGAAAGCTTCACCATGAAAGATTTGGGAGAGGCAGCCTATATACTGGGTATAAAGATCTATAGAGATAGAACTAAGAGGCTACTGTGATTATCCCAATCTACGTACATTGACAAAATACTAAGGAGATTTAGTATGGAAAGGTCGAAAAAGGATTTTCTTCCTATCAATCACGGCGTGCATCATTCTAAGGCTATGTGCCCTAAGGCTCAACAAGAGAATGATTGCATGAGTGAGATACCATACGCTTCGGCTATCGGATCCATCATGTATGTCATGATCTGTACAAGACCAGATATCTCTTATGCGTTAAGCATAACGAGTAGGTGCCAGGCAAACCCTGGAGAGGGTCACTGGACAACAGTCAAAACAATCTACAAAAGTACTTGAGAAGAGCTAAGGATATGTTTCTGGTGTATGGTGGAGTTGACGAGCTAGCAATGAAAGGGTTCACTGATGCTAGCTTACAAAGTCACAAAGATGATTGAAAATCACAATCAGGGTTCGTATTCACCTTAAATGGTGGAGCAATGACTTGGAAAAGTTCCAAACAAGAGACTATAGCAGATTCAATGACAGAGGCTGAATATATAGCGGCTTCAGAAGCAGCTAAGGAGGCAGTGTGGATCAAGAAGTCCATCACTGAACATGGGGTGGTTCCCAGTGTTAGTGAGCCCATACAGTTGTATTGTAACAACATTGGTGCTATTGCGCAGGCAAAGGAACCCAGGTCTCATCAAAGATCAAAACACGTGCTCCGCAGATATCACCTGATTAGAGAAATCATTGATAGGATGGATGTAAAGATAGAATATGTTCCCACAGATGATAACCTAGTCGAGTCTCTGACAAAATGAGTTTCTCAGAGAAAACATGATAGTCATTATGAGGCTTTAGGATATAGATTTTGGTCAAATTGGCTCTAGGCCAAGTGGGAGATTGTTAGTACATAGGTGTCCTAGAGACAATCTGAGAGTCAGATGGATCCATGTACTTCTTTATTAGTTATGAATAAATTTTATGAATAAAAGCATTATTTATCTTGTTTCATATTGCATGTCTTAAATATTGAATATGAGTAACTAGATAAAGCCCTTGGAATGAAACGAGTGTCACATTGAGGACCTGTGATAGAGATCACGATCATGAGGGCTCAATGACAACGTCCATTGCCAGAAATATGTTCCTAGTCTAGAGATACCGATAATGGGCATTGGTTATCTCGGGTAAGACTAGCACGACTCAGCTACTTGCATGGAGATGCAAGGTAGAGTCCTCGTGAGCTACAGACATGGAGATGTCTTAGCTGACTCGTAGGTGGACCTATTGGAGAATAGCTCGCACTGAACTGACCCACAAAGAGACACTACAAGGAAATCTCACAGATAGTATCAATAGGTAATGTCTCTTATTATTTGGGTGTGTCTTTCCTTAGACCTGACATTGCCGTATAGACCTGTGCTCTGGAAGGCTTGCTTTGATTGTATATCTTGTCTGCCTGAAAAATGGAGACTCGTAGGTATACTCTTGGGCATGCCCTAAGGACTCAGGGTTGGTGTGATAAGCTAAAGGAATTCGTCAATCTCTGTGAGAGATTAGGTTATCCGTAGACCGGTGAAACCAGGATGCTCGAAAATCTATGCATAGTAAAGGAGTCATGAGATGGCCCGCTCTTTAGAGTCCCGTAAATGAAGATTTTCTGTTTCGACAAACGCTAACCCTAGACCGCAAGGGTTGATACGTTTTCCTTGACCTAGGTCAATGGGATGGATAACCGAGACGAAAGGACAATTCACACGGTAACCAAATAGGTATAACAGGTTGATCATTCAATGAACTTAACTAGCTCTGGGACAACAAAGTATTGCTAGTGCTCTGTGTTGTCATTAGATGGATTGGGCCTAATGACAAAGTAAAAACAACCATGTATTCATATGGATTCATGAACATAGCATTCGAAATAACATGTTCATAAAAACGAAAACTTTAACCGTTTAAAGTATTGTAAATTAAAATCTATACGTAAAAAATTGAATCTTTAACTTTTAAAGAAATTTTAAACGTGAAAAATATGATCACAAACAAGGTACCATCACCTGTCTATGGCAAATCAACCGGGCTCTGATACCACTTGAAAGTTGGAAATGGCCTTGAAGGCCGATGCATGCTGGAGAGAAAAACAAAACTTTTTCATTGCGGAACACACATGCATTCAAGATCATGCTTTAGGAAAGCATGATGTTACCTTGTTCGTGAAAACTCGTGATGATCAAGGTAGGTCTGAAGGGTTCAGACCCTCTAACGTTTATCCACACCACCCACTGCGTCTAGGTGCAAGAACTCCTTCTTGTGAAACCGCCAAGTGATCACTACAATGAGGCTTGCTAAGCGCACACTGTGTGAAGAGAAAGGCTAGGTAAAAGTGTTTGAAAGAGTGAAGCTTTCAATGTGAAATCTTCACAAAAGTGGCGCAGGAGAGGAGAAGAGAATGGCTTGGTTGGTTTTCTAAAAACCCTAGAAGGAACATATATATAGAGGCGCACAAGAGGAGCCTATCTGTTAAAAAACAAATCAGATTTTTAATCAATAAAAATCCCTTCCAAAAGGGCGCTCCATCAAAGAGAGAGAGAATAAGATTTGGTTCAAAACCTAATCAAATATCTGATCATAAATCATCATATAATCAGTTATATGGTGCGCCCCGTATAGCCTAAATAATGACCAGATACATTTGAGTAGTTGCATTCAAACTTGAATCAAATCACTCAAATATTCTCCCAACATATCGTATATTCTGGAGCTAATTCTGATGACTAACCAACAGCCAAATCAGCACCCCAAATCTTCTTAGATTATGTCCAAAAGATTTCCTCTTGATATGTTCCAACAAGATCTCATCTTATCCTTTTGTTATGAAACAACTTTTCATAGCTAATTCAAATTCGAATTTCAGACATTTGAATTCAAACTTTCAAACACTTAAATTTTAAATTCAAATTCAAATTCTAAATTGAAATTGAAATTCAAAATTCAAATTCAAATTTCAAAATTCAAAATTCAAATTTCAAATTTCAAAATTCAAAATTCAAATTTTAAATTTCAAATTCAAAATTCAAAATTCGAATTTCAAAATTCAAATTCAAAATTCAAAATTCAAAATTCAAAATTTAAAATTCAAAATTCGAATTCAAAATTCAAATTCAAATTTCAAATTTCAAATTTCAAATTCAAAATTCAAAATTTAAACATTTGATAATTAATTTAACTAATTAAATTAATTAGTAATGTCTTGGACTATCCAAGCCCATTACTTAGATCCATGCGCCCTCCACCCTATTTGTGGAGTTTCAAACTACTTCTTGGGCTAATAACAATTGTTAGGCCCAATACCATTAATGCTAGAGCATCTAGACAATTAGGTGTTAGTGTGTGACCCATTAGGTCCAACATAGCCACTGACATAAATGAGCCTGGGCCCAATAAGCCCACAACCCATCTAATGACAACACAAAGCACTAGCAATGCTTTGTTGCCCCAAAACTAGTTAGATTAATGATTTGATCATCCTATTAAACATATTTGGTTGCCGTATGTTTGTCCCTTCGTCTCGGTTACCTTCCCATAAAACCTAGGGTAAAGAAACGTATCATCCCTTGCGGTTTAGGGTTAGCTTTTTATGAAATAGGGAGTCTTCAATTTACTGACTCTAAAGGCAGATCATCTTATGATCTCTTTTACTATGCATAGATTCCCGAGTCACTGTAAATGTCATCCTGATTTCTCCGGTTTAAGGATAACCTTAATCTCTCACAGAGACTTGACGAATTCCTTCAGCTTATTACCCTAGCCCTGTGCCCTATCAGGACAAGCCCAAGAGCATACCTATGAGTCTCCATATTTCAGGCAGACGAGGTATACAATCAAGGCATGCCTTCTAGAACACAATCTAAGTGATAACTTCTGGTCTAAGGAAAGACATACCCAAATATATAGAGACTACTCTAATGATACTATCTGTGTGATTTCCTCATAGAGTCTCTTCGAGGGTCCGTTCCGTTCGAGCTATACCCTTATAGGTTCACCCACGACTTTAGCTAAGACATCTCCATATCTGTAGCACATGAGGTCTATACCTTGTATCCATATACAAGTAGATAAGTCGTGCTAGTCTTACCCGAGATTACTGACCCCATTCTCAGTATCTCTAAACTAGGAACATAAAATTAGGAGTAAACATCCGGTATTCTTGAATCCTCATGATTGTGATCTCATCACAGATACTCAAGAGATACATATTTTATTCCACGGGGTTTATCAAGTTATTCATAATATATTAACATTAATATCGAGACATAATTATGAAATAAGATAAAGAGTGCTTTTATTTATTTGCGACAATATTAAAAAGGTCTACATCTATGTCCTTATTTAATCATAAGATTGTCTCTAGGACACCCAAATACTAACACAAGGAGCCTGCGAAAGGCAACTCCCTTAAGCCCAAAGGAAAACCCAAGAAGAAGAAAGGAAAAAAGAAGGGTAAGAATAGGGTTGGCAAAACGGGCCAACCCGGCTCGACCCGGCCCAACCCGCATTCAGCCCGAAAAAAATGGGTCGGGTCGGGTTGGCTCGAAAAAAAAAACGAGCCAGAAAATCCAACCCGGCTCGACCCGAGCCGGGTTAGGGTTGGCTCGCGGGTTGGCTCGATAATCAGCTCGCGGGTTGGCTCGTAAAAAAGCTCACGGGTTGGCTCAAAAAAAGCTCGCGAGTTAGCTCGAAATGATGCTAGTGGGTTGGCTCGCGGGTTGGTTAGCTCAAAATATTGGCTAGCGGGTTGGCTCAAAAAATTTAATTTTTGTGGTTTGTTTTCCTGTATAAAATTATTGTATTTTGCAGTCCAACTACAAGTAGACTAGTTTACAAAATCCAAAAACATTAAACGAAACACAAACCACTCCACGAATCACAAGAGTCATTTATCATGATTTTTTGAATTACTCTAACTCACGATAACCATAAAACGTATGTAAAGCCAAAAAATAAAAAATAAAAGAAGTCCATCAGTGGAGAATCCATCAGTAAAGTCCATTGTATTAAAAAAAAAAAAAAAGAGTAACCCGCGAGCTGGCTCGTTCAACCCGCGAGCTGGCTCGTTTGAGCTCGGGTTGGCTCGGGTCGGGCTAAATCGAGCTGGCAACTCATTTTTGCCAACCCAACCCGGCTCGTTTTGTGCGGGTTACGAGCCAACCCGACGGGTTGGCTCATTTTTGGCATCCCTGGGTAAGAATGCATCCAAGGACAAAAGCGATGCTGAGTGCTTCCAATGTGGCAAGAAAGGCCATTGGAAGAGGAATTGTCCAGACTACCTGAAGCGTGTGAAGGACAAGAAGCATGGTGATGCTTCTACCTCAGGTATTTACATGATTGAGATAAATTATTCTTGTGCTAATCCGACTTCATGGGTATTGGATACCAGTTGTGGTTCTCATAATCTACAATGTGTTGCAGGTGCTTAGGAGCCCTAGAAGATTGTAGAAGAACGAGATGGACCTCCGCGTTGGTGATGGAGCAAGAGTTGCTGCTCATGCTGTTGGAGATACTGACCTCATTTTGCCTGCGGGCCTCTTATTGCATTTGAATAATTGTCTTTATGTTCCCAGCATTTCTAGAAACATTATTTCTATTTCTTGTTTAGAACGAGATGGTTTTGCTTTCGCTATTAAGGATGATACATTTTCTATCATTTTGAATGATATTGTTTTTGGTACTGCTTCTTTAATAAATGGCTTATATGTTTTGGAAATGGGAACTGAAGTGCTCAATGTAGATGTGAAACGACCTAAGACAGATAATCAATCTTATCTTTGGCACTGTAGACTAGGGCACATAAACAAAACAAGATTGTCTAGGATGCATGCAAATAGATACATAGATTCCATGGATTTGAAATCCTATGGACAATGTGAATCTTGTCTAGCTGGAAAAATGACTCGTCACAAGCCCCTGGCTTGAGAGTCATAGGGCTAGTGAGTTATTGGAACTCATTTACTCTGATGTTTGTGGCCTAATGTCTATAGAGGCTAGAGGAGGATACTCATATTTCATTACCTTTACTGATGATAAATCGAGATTTGGGTACGTGTACCTAATGAGATATAAATATGAAGCTTTTGAAAAATTCAAAGAGTTTAGGAATGAAGTAGAGAAACAGCGTGGCAAGATGATTAAGACATTGCGATCAGATCGTGGTGGTGAATTTCTTAGCCATGAGTTTCAAGATTATCTGAGAGAAAATGGAATTCTCTCGCAGTTTACTGCACCTTACACACCACACCAAAATGGTGTCTCCAAAAGGAGAAACAGGACCTTGTTAGACATGGTCAGGTCTATGATGAGTGAGACTCAACTTCCAAAATCGTTTTGGGGATATGCCTTAGACATAGCAGCATACCTTCTAAAAAGGGTACCGTCTAAATCTGTTCAGACCACACCATATGAGATATGGAATGGTAAGAGACCCAACCTGAGTTACCTCAGGGTATAGGGATCGCCAACATATGTCAAAGCGTTGGCATCAGACAAGCTTAGTGCTGAGAATACTAAATGTCTATTTGTGGGGTATCCCAAAGGTACTAAGGGATACTACTTTTACTCCATGGATGAACACAAGGTGTTTATGTCCAAGAATGTTGAGTTCCTTAAGAAGGATTTGATCTCTCAAGGAGCCAATGGGAGTAAGATTGATGTTGAAGAAGTTCGAGGACCACAAGAACAGATTGAGGAACCCGAGTCTGCTCCGCAGACGACGTTCTCCAATGGAGAAGTAAACACACAACTCCGTAGGTCTACTAGGGCCATCCATCCACCTGAGAGGTATGGGTTTGTGATTGAGAGTCAACAAACCGTCGAGGATGATGAACCTAGTAACTATGAGGAGGCGGTCAAGGATGTTGACTCCTCTAAATGGCTTGAAGCCGTGGAGTCTAAAATAGATTTGATGCATCAAAACAAGGTATGGACCTTGGTTCCTAAACCGCAAGGAATAGTTCCTATCGGTAATAAATGGGTCTTTAAAAGAAAGACTGATGCAAATGGCAACGTTCAAACCTACAAAGCTAGGTTGGCTGCGAAAGGATATCGTCAAAGACAAGGAGTTGACTATGATGAGACTTTCTCACCAGTTGCCATGATCAAATCTATTAGGATCGTGATATGCTGCTATTGCAAGCATCAAGGAGTTGGAATATTCGCTTTGATGAAGTCGTTAAGAGTAACAGTTTCATCAAGAACGAGGATGAACCTTGTGTTTACAAGAAGGTTAGTGGGAGTAATGTCATTTTCTTGGTACTTTATGTAGATGACATATTACTTATAGGAAATGACATCCCCACATTACAAACAACGAAAGACTGGCTTTCAAAAAGCTTCACCACGAAGAATTTGGGAAAAACGGCGTTTATACTTGGTATAAAGATCTATAGAGATAGATCCAAGAGGCTGTTGGGTTTATCTCAATCCACGTATGTTGAAAAGATGCTAAAGAGGTTTAGCATGGAAAGGTGAAAAATGGGTTTTCTTCCTGTCAGTCATGGGGTACATCTTTCCAAGGCTATGTGTCCTAAGTCACATCCTGAGAAGGATCGCATGAGTGAAATACCATACGCTTCGGCTATTGGATCCATCATGTATGCCATGATATGTACGAGACCAGATGTCTTATATGCTTTAAGCATTATGAGCAGATACCAGTATGACCCTGGAGAGGGTCACTGGACAGCAGTCAAGATCATCCTTAAGTACTTGAGAAGAACTAAGGATACGTTTCTGGTCTATGGTGGGGTTGATGAGCTTTCAGTGAAAGGATTCACTGATGCCAGACAGCTTTCAAAGTGACAAAGATGACTACAAGTCACAATCAGGGTTCGTATTCACCTTAAATGGTGGGGCAGTATCTTGGAAGAGTTCCAAGCAGGAGAGAACAGAAGATTCAACGACAGAAGTTGAATACATAGCTGCTTCAGAAGCGGCTAAGTAGGCCGTGTGGATGAAGAAGTTCATATCTGAACTAAGGGTGGTTCCAAGCGTTGATGAGCTCATACAGTTGTTTTGCGACAACACTGGAGCCATTGCGCAGTCAAAGGAACCTAGGTCTCATCAAAGATCTAAACACGTGCTCCGCAGATATCACCTGATTAGAGTAATCATTTTTAGGATAGATGTAAAGATGGATTATGTTCCCACAGATAATAACCTAGCCGATTCTCTGACAAAGGCTTTTTCTTAGAGAAAACATGATAGTCATTATGAGGCTTTAGGTATACGACTTAGGTCAGATTGGCTCTAGGCAAAGTGGGAGCTTGTTAGATGTCCTAGAGACAATCTTTTGATTAGATTAGGACATATGTGGACCTTTTATATTGTCGCAAATAAATAAAAAGAACTCTTTACCCTGTTTCATATTTTGTCTCAATATTATAGTTAATATTTTATATGAGTAACTGAATGAACCCCTTGGAATAAAATAAGTATCTCTTGAGTATCTGTGATGAGATCACGATCATGAGAATTCAAGGATACTGGATGTTTATTCCTAATTTTATGTTCCTAATCTAGAGACACTGAGAATGGGGATCGGTGATCTCGGGTAAGACTAGCACGACTTATCTACTTGTATTCGAATGCAAGGTAAAGACCTCATGAGCTACAGATATGGAGATGTCTTAGCTAAAGTCGTGGGTGGACCTATAAGGGTATAGCTCGCACTGAACAGACCCACAAAGAGACTCTATGAGGAAATCTTACAAAAGTATCATTAGAGCAATCTCTTAATATTTGGGTATGTCTTTCTTTAGACCATAAGTTGTCACCTAGACTGTGTTCTAGAAGGCATGATTTGATTGTATACCTCGTCTTCCTGAAACATGGAGACTCATAGGTATACTTTTGGGCATGTCCTGAAAGAACACAGGCCTAGGGTGATAAGCTGAAGGAATTCGTCAAATCTCTGTAAAGGATTAGGTTATCTGTAAACCGGAGAAATCGGGATGACATTTACAGGACTCGGGAATCTATGCATAGTAAAAAATATCATGAGATGGTATGCATTTAGAGTCAGTAAATTGAAGATTCCCTATTTCGAATAAAGCTTACCCTAAACCGCAAGGGTGGATACGTTTCCTTGCCCTCTAGGTTTAATGGGAAGGTAACCGAGACGAAAGGAAATACATATGGTAACCAAATATGTATAATAGGATGATTATGTCATTAACTTAACTAGCTCTGGGGCAACAAATTATTGCTAGTGCTCTGTGTTGTCATTAGATGGGTTGTGGGCTTTTTGGGTCCAAGCCCATTTATTTCAGTGGCTATGTTGGGCCTAATGGGTAACACACTAACACCTTATTGTCATAATGATATAGCATTAAAGGTATTGGGCCTAATAATGGTTGTTAGCGCAAAAAGAAGTTTGGAAGCCCACCTAAAAGGGAAAAGGGCGCATGGATCATGTAATGGGTTTGGATGGTTCAAGACATTACTAATTAATTTAATTAGTTAAATTAATTATCAAATATTTAAATTTTAAATTTTGAATTTGAATTTTGAATTTTGAATTTTGAATTTGAAATTTGAATTTTGAAATTGGAATTTTTAATTTGAAATTTGAATTTTGAATTTAGAATTTAAATTTAGAATTTGAGTTTAGAATTTAAATGTTTGAACGTTTGAATTTAAATATTTGAATTCGAATTTGAATTGGCTATGAAAAGTTATTTCATAACAAAATGATAAGATAAGATCTTGTTGGAACAAATCCCTAGTATCAAGAGGAGATCTTTGATCATATACAAGGCTGAATTTGGGGCGCAAATTTGGTTGTTGTGAGTGTCATCTTGTCAACCAAATAAGCTCCAAATCAGATTTGGTTTGTTGAGAGAATCAGTGAGCTATTTGGTTCAAATTTGAATGCAACTACACAACGTATCTAGACTGTTTTTGGGGCTGAATTGGGCGCACCATATGGCTTTTCGTATGATTTTTGTTAATTTAGATTTTTGTTAAGATATTTACTTGATATCATGAGGATATGATAGGAGGTTGTTGGCAAGATTTGATTTTGCAACAACTCCATTTTAACTCTCTATTGTGCGCTACTTATGGTTAGATTTTTAGAGAAAGATCTGATCCAATTTTGATAGTTCTCTGATCTCCTTTGGTCATCCTTTTGTTAGGTTTTTCTTAAGAGGTTTTGCAAAATAACCTAGCCATATATCATTAAATCCATGCGCCACTTTTGTGGAGTTTTAAGCTGAAAATTTCACTCTTCTAAACACCTTAACCTAGCCTCCTCCTTCACATATTGGACGCATAGCAAGCTTTTGTGGTGATCAATTAGTGGCTTTTCAAGAAGAGTTCTTGCATCTTGACGTGGGTGGTGTGGATCAACGTTAGAGGGTTTGAACCCTTCAAACCTTAGACTGATCTCCGTGGTGTTTGAATCACAAACAAAGGTAACATCATGCTGTCTTAAAGCATGAGTCTTGATTGCATGTGTGATTCCGC